TGTTATATTATATCATATTCTACCATAGTATGTTATGTTATATCATATTCTACCATAGTATGTTATGTTATATCATTTTTTATTATGTTATACTATAGTATAGTCTAGTACAGTATTGTACATTATATATTATATGTATAATATCATATTTAATATATTGTGTTATACATTACATTACATTTTATTCTATTTTATCATCTCATAGTATAATACTATATTATATTATATATTATATTAAATTATATTAAGATTATATTTATTGTATTATATTTATAGACTGTAAACTGACTGGATTCACTGCACAATGTGCCAGACGTGCTGCTTGGGCCTAGCCGCATTGATGAGCCACTGCGAAAAGCAGCAAAGAGGCAACTGTGCCTGCGGCACTGTACCCGCAATGGTGTCCTTGTCCTCAGAGCCGCCCTGCCATCTCTCCACAGCGATGATATTCTAGTATATTATCAGTTCTCATATATGATGGAATACTACAGTAGATTGTACTATGTTATATATTATATTCTCATATATGATGGGGTACCATAGTAGACTATAGTATATTATATAGTATATATATATACATATATATATATACATATATATATACATATATATATATATACAGTAGCCTTTTATGGTTGTTGAAAGCTATGTCATCCTGTCCGAGCAGGAAAGCCGCGCGGCCGCAAGCGAGGCACCGGTCGATCTGCTTGAGCTCCTGTTTGGGTTTGGGATTTTAGGGTTTAGGGGTTTAGGGGCTCACCTGCGTTTTTGGATCGCGGCTTTGAGCCCAGAAACCACGAGCTTTGAATTGAACCTGGAGCCATATGCTGCAAACGAAATCTCAAGACTCTCGCCAACATCCGCGCAATCGTCCCCGTCAGCATCCCGCTCATCGTCATCATCATCCCAAGCAGCCCAGTCACCTTCATCAGTTTATCTCAAATATCTTCACACCCCGATGCCGCTGAGCTCGAAATCCTAGCCTATAAGCCTTACTGCATGCCTCCCTTTGCGCCAGATGCTGGAGCTGATGAAGCAAAGAGCCGCGGGCCAAGCGATGACGGCAATTTCTGTAGCGCTCAACATGAGAGTTTGTCAATCTCGGAGTCCCTGTCTGGAGGCCCGGCTTCCTTGACCTGGTTACCCTAAACATCCTAAACCCTTAAACCCTAAACCCTAAACATCCTAAACCTGCCTCCATGTGTGATGGGGGCTTGTCTTGGTCGGGCTAAGGGCCTTCAAGCTCCGAGGAGTAAAACGGAACAGTCGGAACAGCTCACATTTCGTAAAGTTGTGAGTGGACGGGAGGCTCAGGATCAAGAGGTTGTGCCTTAAAGGACATTTAGGCATCATTTGGGGCATAGTCGGTATCGTGCCTTATCATGTTCAGAATATCTGTTCCCCCGGACAGGATCCGGTTTCGGGTTTAGGATCCCGACTTTTCTCAGACCGATCTCACAGAACGCTTGAACTTGTCGTATCGGCTGCTCTGCTTGCCTGACAGGAGGAGTCAATGACTCAACGAGCTATGGAGGTGGCTATGGCTACGGGCTTTCTTCTGTGGGGCTCTAAACGTTAGGCTTCCGGGCTTCAGGGTGTGCGTTTTTCAGGGTTTGGGGTGCGTGGGGGTTTCAGTGTTGGGGGGTTAGGGTTGTTAGGTTGAAGGCTTTCGGCTTAGACTCTCTCATAGTTCAGCCGTAGTCGTAGTCCACAGGCCAGAAAACACTTTCCTGCAAACCCGCCTGCGGTGCAGCGGCGACGCATGTCCTGACCTGCCTATGCCTCCAGAAATTGGTCGAATACACGCAGAGCACACGCAGTTCCTTCACTCACCCACTTTGTGCAGATGTCCGCGACAGTGGAGCGGGTCATGGCCGACGCAAAGGCCCACGCGCATGACTAGAAGAGCTTGAGTTGAGCACTTTGGGGTTTCCACGTAGTTAAGTGTGACTCTCATTTTGCATTCGTCGTTGACGCCGGGATCACTTTCAGAAGCCCCAGATGGTAGGATGCCTGCTCATCCAAATTGGGACGCACCGAGCTCCTGGCTCCCTGATACCCTGAGCCCTAAACCCTGATATTCCGGGGCCCTGGGCGAACTCGAACATCCGAGTCTTGATGAAGGAATCCAGTCGGACTTTGATGTGGGATTGTTCCGAACCTGGGTCCCGTTCAATGACTGCTCTACTCCAGTAAGAGTCCGGAAAAGGAACCTCAATCTAGAACGACCGGTCATGTACTGCCTGAAGCCTCAAGTTTTGAAGCCGCGGCACTTGTCTAAAACCAAGACCCTGCAAGTAGCCCGAAACAGTTTAAAGCCTGAATCTCGAAGCCCCCATGAGCTCAGAACGCCGAGCAGCAGCATCGAGTCGAGGTGCGAGTTCTGGGAGCTCCAAATAGAGAAAATCGAACATGCTAGATGCCTGTCATTAAGTGACATACCAGCGCTGCTGCTACTACTACTACTACTACTACTACTACTACTACCACCTACTACCTACTACCTACTACCTACCACCTACCACCTACCACCTACCACCTACCACCTACCACCTACCACCTACGACCTACTACCTACTACCTACTACCTACTACCTACTACCTACTACCTACTACCTACTACCTACTACCTACTACCTACTACCTACTACCTACTACCTACTACCTACTATCTACTACCTACCACTGCTGCCAGCTCCCCGAATTCCACATCTCTATCGTTGGCCATCTGTAATTGGCCTGCTGACTATTTGCACCTGTTGCCAGTCTTCTGCACAAAAAACGGTTTGGCCCTGGGAGGCAGAGACAGCCATGCGAAAGCTGGAGGAAGTGGTTCGCTTGAGCTTGTAGCTCGTATTTCTGAGCCCATACTGGTCAAGAGGTCTTGCGTAATCTGTGTGCATGGAGTTGAGGCGTGCTATATAATTACTTGTAAAACCGGCAAAGGCGCCCACTGCATTAGAGAGGTGCTTTGGCGTCCATTCAGAAATAACAATCACATTGCGCCCCTTACACCCCGAGCCCCTCGGAGGAGCAGCGCGAAGCAGAGCGCCTCAAATTCGAGCGCGAGCTGGAGCGGAGGACGAAGGCGAAGATCGGATTTCGGGTTGATTAATATAGGGATTTGAGTTTTAGAATGTAGTGTTTTGGTGGGATTATATATATATATACACACAGCAATTTATAATTATACTAAGGAACCCCCAAAGTCGTATGAGTAATTATTTCGGCTCTCTATAGTAGGCATGCTGAGGGGTCTGCTCAGGGTTCCTAGAGGCTTAGGTTCAGGGATGTCTAGAGCCTATAATAATAGGGGCTCTACGACGCCGTAGCTCCTATACCATCAACTTTAAAACCTCAATTCCTAAATGCTACACCCTCGGTCCTTTAAACCATACCTGTAACCGAAAAGACCTACCTCTTTAAGGGACTCGGTATAGAAACCGTAATAAGGAAGCGTAAAAAGGTAGTTCTCTTCGTCATTTCTTGCTGTTGCTCATGTATTTTTTTCGGCAGATGCTCGCCTGGGTTTGAGGGTTCAGGGTTTAAGGGTTTAGGGTTTAAGGGTTTAGGGTTTAAGGGTTTAGGGTTTAAGGGTTAAGGGTTTAGCATTTAGGGTTTAGGGTAGTCTGAAACGTAAAACCGACATCCCACACCCCAAAGCCGGACCCGCAAAGACCTAAACCCGGTCGTACACCCCAGAACCTAAACCCTCAACTACGAAACCATAAGCCTCAAAGCCCCAAACTTGATTAACAATAATCCTTGAGCCCACCACCCTATCAATCCGCAGGCCCTAAGGCAAAAGTCCAACAAATCCTTAAACACCTCAATCCGAACCGGAAATGCATAACCCCAAGCCCTAAAGCTAAAATCCCACAACCCCAAAAATCCGCTGCCAGGAGCTCGAGCGTGACAAGAAGCGCAAGGAGCTTGAGATGAAGGCGGTCCGAAACCCTCAATCCGAAAAGCGCAAGCCTACTTGGAGGTTCATGGGTAGTTATAAGTGGGGTTATAAGTATGGTAACTATAATTATAACCCATATCAGGGGACTTATAACTCCACTTATAACTACCCATGAACCTCCAAGTAAACTCCAGAATATTGGCTTTTCTACGGCTCAGCCATTATATAAGAATGTTAGCGTTCGGGATGTAGGAATTGCAGCTTAGGATACCCCAAAAGGCATAACGTATGATCTCTAAACCTCGAACCGCACCTTTTGCCTTGAAGCCTCAACCAATCCGATCCCGAACAGGTGTCTTCATAAAGAACCGAACCCTAAACACAAAAGACCCAAATAATCCCTAAACCCTAAAACCTAAAATCCCTACACCCCGACCCCTGAACCCCTAAGACCTTAAATCCCTACACCCCTACCCCTAAACCCCTAAACCTCTGGTCCCTAAGCCCCAAAACCCCGAGGCCCGTCGCTCCCCCTAAACCCTAAACCCTACACCCTAAGCCCTAAACTCTAAACCCTACCTAGAGACCCCAAAGAAGTTACTTTTTGAAGGACTTATGAAAACACAATAAGGAACCCTAAAAACGCAGGGTTTTTGAGGGTCCAGGTAAACCCTAAACTCTAATCCCTAAACTCTAAAGCCTAAACTCTAAACCCTACACCCTATACCCTACACCCTAAGCCCTTAACCCCTAAACCCTAAACCCCTAAACCCCTAAACCCTAAACGTGTACTTCTTGAGTTCTACTTGGGGGTTCCTTCAATTCTACTTGGAGGTTCATGGCTAGTTATAAGTGTGGTTATAAGTAGGGTAACTATAATTATAACCCAGATTAAGGGACTTATAACCCCACATATAACTACCCCTAAACCCTAAACCCTAAAATCCCTACAGAAACCTTTAAAGGAACCCTTAAAGGAGCCCCATAACCTCCACTTATAACTACCCATGAACCTCCAAGTAGGAGGGAAGCCCAAAGCCCTAAACCCTAAACCCTAAACCCTAACCCTAAACCCTAAGCCAACCCTAAAGCCCTAAGCCCCAAGCTCTTAGAGGCCGAGCGGAAGGCCGAGCAGGTCCGCTCCTTTCGGCGCGAGCAGGAGCTAAAGGCTCGGCCCTGGGAGGGGTTGGGTTTTTCTGGTTTGGGGCTAAGGTTTAGGGTTTAGGGTTCTAGGATTTTTTCTGGGGTGTTATGAGGGAATTGAAGTTATGAGGGTTTTTTTCTGGTTTATAGGGCTTAGGGTTCCAGGAGTTTTTTTTGTTTTTCGGGTTTATGGGGCTTAGGGTTCCAGGAGTTTTTTTGTTTTTCGGGTTTATAGGGCTTAGGGTTCAAGGAGTTTTTTGTTTTTTCGGGTTTATTGGGCTTAGGGTTCCAGGAGTTTTTTTTGTTTTTTCGGTTTTATAGGGCTTAGGGTTCCAGGAGTTTGTTTTTTGTTTTTCTGGTTTATAGGGCTTAGGGTTCAAGGAGTTTTTTTTGTTATGAGGGAATTGAAGTTACGAGGGTTTTTTGAAGGTTTGAAATTACGATGGTTTTATGCGGTTGAAATCATGAGGTTTTGTGTTGAGGCTTTTCGGATATGAGGGTTATATGAGTGCTTCATAGGGGGAGCTGGGCCACTGGAGGGTTTGGCACTACTTTTTCTTCTTTGGGACGGGGCTTTGGGATTTTGGTGGGTCAAGGATGAGCGTTCCTTGACTGAGGCTTTCAATCCCTAAACCCTGAAACCCTACACTCTAAACCCTGAACCCCTAGACTCTAAATTCTAGAGCCTATAAAAACGAATCTCTAAACACCATGCCCTATGGACCCCAAACTCTAGCTCTGCAGGGCTCCGGAGTCTAGAGTAGGTTCTACGGCTTCGATGTTTCATAACGTGTCGACACGCTTCCCTTTTTTGGGGGGGCGCAGGTGCATTATTTTTTGTCAAGACCTGTCGGAGGTTGCACAAGGTTCTAAAATAGTGGTTGTGGGCAGGCTGGTGATGAGACAATGTGCTTAATCTAGTAAGTTATTATATTATACTTATATTAATTATAATATAATTATAGTATAGAAATAATATGTTGTACTTAATACTTATCTTAATTTCGTTGTAGGTATCAGCGATGGGTTCAGGGCTGACGCATGCTAGCTTCAAGAGGGGTTGGATGTGAATAGGGCCATTGCAAGGTGGAGGTGAATAAGGCCATCACCAGGTCTTGAAGATATGGGAATGCGATCAAGCAGACACTGTACTCCAGCGGTGTTCATCAGCGTCTGCCTTTCCGTCATGCAGTCAGCATCCGCAGCGCGGCCCTATGTAGTTCAAGACTGTCCCCAAAGTGTTTTGAACGCAAAGATGTGACACCTGTTGAACCCTGAACCCGGCAGGTCCTAGACCGACTGTCGCTGAAAGCCCTGTGTCCACCCTCGCGTCTCACAGGAAGAGGTTCTTCAGATGAAGCGCCCGCCTGAGGTCAACGCGAGATGTGCGAATCTCCGAATCGTTTTCATTGCGAATAGTGCTATGCTGTATTATGATGTTTGTTCTTGTCTTGTCATTCTTGCTAGGGATTATGATGATACTCATATGATGAAGACGTTATGACGATGATGATGACGACGACGATGATGATGATTGCACCCGGCATTGTTGCTCACTGTTTGTGAGGTAGAGCCATTTCTGCTGTGTAGCATTTACAGAGGATGTGCTGTTGCGCATCAAGTTTTATTTAAATCCCGACCTAAGCAGGCCTCAGGAGCCTGAGCGATGAACCACACTGGAATAGAAAACGAACACAGTGATGTATCACGTTGTATGATCACAGCTGACGTCTATTTTGAATGATATAATAATATATGTAGACGTTGCCAATGCGTTCTGAAGAGTGAGTACTTGATGAGTACTACTATGTAAGAGTACCACGACTACGAGAACTGCAAGCATCACTCATCTGCTGGCTAGCAGTTATGGCAGTTATTACTTCAAGTCAGGTGACGAAGAAGGTTGCATGTGTATTGGTGTATATGGCACGGATCTACAGTGATATGCTGTGTATTTGTCTCGTATGTTTCCATTGGGGTAACTCTTCCATGTAGTGGCCGAGAGTTCAGCTGCACATGTTTCACCGTTAGGGGCCCTCGCGCAATTACCGCAGGTCGGGTAGGATCTAGGGCCAGGAGAATTCAGCTACTACTGTACTGCTCGTAATATAAAGAAGCCTAAACCCGCACCCGAATACTTGAAGTCATGCGAAGACAAGAAGAAAGCTCGATTCTCCCAGCCGCCTCAGGCTGCAAGCGCGGCAGGCACGTACTTTGTGGGCATAGGGGCGGTAATATGACTCCTTGCGTTGCGGCTATGGGGTATCCCATCGAGGTTTCCGGGAATGATACTTTTGTTGAAGTCCTCCTGGCATCCATACACCCTACCTTGGCCTAAACCTGCTCAGTCCTAACTCGAAACCATACAACACAGAAGCCTAAGACGCTTATTTCGCCTTAACCCTAAACCCTAAATTCGAAAACCCCGAAGCCCTGAACGGACTGAGTTCTTGTTAAGCGGTTTAATTTAAGTTACCATAATGAAGAAACCCTATTATTTACTATAAATCCCGAGTATGGTAGCTTAAAGTCCCTATTACCCTAAACCCTAAACCCCGAACCCTGAAGCCTAAACCCTTAAATGCTAGACCCTATAAACCCTAAACCCATAAACCCTAAACCCCCTATTATGGTAACTTCAACTAAACTGCTGACCTACGAGCACAGCCTAAACCCTAAACCCTAAAACCCTGAAGCCCTGAAGCCTGAAAACCCTAAACCCTAACCGTGTAGATCCCTTTATAGGAACCCTTAATCGGACCTTCATAGATCTCTTTTCAAAGGACTCTAAACCCCTAAACCCTAAAACCCTAAACCCTAGACCCAAAGAGCAGCCGAGAGGTGGGGGAGGCGATGGTTCGCAGCTTGGAGGAGGGAGACCTGATGCGACCTCCCAGCCCGGAGCTCGATTCCTTTTTTTGTTGGGAGGGTTATGGTTTGGGGTTTAGGGTTTGGGGTTTAGGGTTTGGGGTTTGGGGTTTAGGGTTTAAGGTTTGGGGTTTGGGATTTAGGGTTTAGGGGGAGGGTGGGGAGTTAGGGGGTTAGGGATTTCGGGATGTAAGGTTTGGGGATTTAGGGGTTAGATAGGGATTTAGGGGTTAGATAGGGATTAGGTATCGAGGGTTTAGGGGTTTAAGGCTTAAGGGTTTAGGGACTTAGAGATTAGAGATTCAGGGGCTCTAGGGCAGGGGATTCAGGGATTAGGTAGTTATGTAGGGTTTGGGGATTTTGGGATTTTGGGTTTAGGGTGTTGGACCGAAGCACGTGTGGAGTGGAGTTTAGGGTATAGGGATTTAGGGTGTAGGGTTTCGGGTTCAGGGATTTGGGGAACATGTTGCTTGCAGAACACATCAAGTTTTCATATACAAACACACGGATTAAATTAACCCTAACCCCTAAACCCTAAACCCTGAACCCTAAACCCTAAACCATAAACCCCAAACCCTAAACCCTAAAACTAAACCCTACCCAAAGCCACAGCCAGAGTCGAGTCGGTAAACTCCTCTCCGACCCATCACTCTGTAGCTTTGAGATGCCGGGGGTGCCTCGGGTCTTGTCCTGTGGACACTTCCACGGTTTAGGGTTTATGGTGGTTTAGGGTTTAGGGAAGTGCATATGGCATATGGCGTAGTTAGGAGATATGGACTTTGGGAAGCGGGAAACATGTGGGATGCAAAGAGGTCAATGTGAAGGAGACGGGTGATGACTTAGTCTGCCGACAGGGATGCTGGTGAGCACGACATCTGGTATAGATTGGAGCATGCCTCTGAAAGGAAGCTGGTATATACGACTACATAGTACTGTATCACGACCACACAGTCCTCTATGTTTAAGGTTTAGGGGTTTAGGGCTTAGGGTTTAGGGTTTAGGGGTTTAGGGCTTAGGGTTTAGGGTTTAGGGGTGTAGGCTTTAGGGTTTAGGCTTTAACATAGGGGCCTTCACAATTAGAACAGGGTTTGGGGATATACTCTACTATAATTATAATAAGGACCCCCCAAAATAGTATTGGTGATTATTTAGGCCCCCACGGCTATAGCTTCTATTATAGTAGAGTATACCCCCAAACCCTATTCTAATTGCCAAGGCCCCTATATTACGGCTAGAAAGCGGGACCATATTAAAGCCTAAACTCTAAAGCCTAAACCCCTGAACCCTAAACCCTAAGCCCTAAACCCCTAAACCTTAAACCTTAAACCCTAAACCACGGCTATAGCTTCTATTATAGTAGAGTATACCCCCAAACCCTCTTCTACTTGTGAAGGCCCCTATAATTAAACCCTTATAGACTTATAGAACCCTTATAGTATAGCCCTTAAAAGGTGAAGGCCCCTATATTACCGGCTAGAAAGCGGGTCCCCAGGCTGGCCGAACTTCGATCCTCCCTGCGACAGCGCGCGGAGCATGCCGCTGCCCCGCTCCCACTCAAGGCTGCACGAGGCGCAGGGAGCAGTTCGGGGTTCCGTTTTGGGGGTTTGGGGATCAGAGTTTCGGGGGTTCTTTTCAAGTCTTCGTGCTGATCTCAGATTCCGAGTCTGGGAGTGTTTGCCCTGGTTTTCCCGCAGTCATCTTCTGGCATGGCTAGATTCCTCAGACTGTCTACCTCGACGCTTCTCAGCTGCACTGCATAAATCCTGCTTGCTGCTTGTCTTTGCAGCTAGGCTCAGGGCAGGCACCAGGTCTGTACGTTTGGAGCCCTCCTTCCTGCAGAGACCCAAAAGCCGGGTGCTCAGGCTCGGAGAGCTGGCTCTAGCATCTAGAGTTTAGTTTAGGGTTTATGTGTAGGGCTAAGGTTGAGGCACTTTTTGACGGTTGGATCCCCTGCGAAAACTTCGTCAATGTAATGCACAAGCAGCATAATTCTTTTATCTTTCGATACTTTGGGGTTTTAGGTTACTAAGAGAGTTTCGTAGAAGGGATCTGCAACACAACTCGTGCTGCTTACCTTCTGAGAATGGTAGAGGTTACCAAGAGTGTACGCTTTCTGTATTTTTCTGTCTGAGGCAGGCGGATATTCTTTGAACTTTTGCATAATAAACAAACCTACGCTTGTGTTTGCACATGTGGGTATATGTACACAACATATTATACATATATGTATATGTATATGTATATGTATATGTATATATGTATATATGTATATGTGTGTATGTGTGT